AAAGCCTGGACAACTGAGTTGTCCGTGCGCACCGTGAAGGGCGCCCCGTGCAGATAATGACGCCAATGTCCGGTAGCATAAACTACTGCGAGAACCTCACGTTCATTGGCAGTGTAGTTTATCTCGGCAGGTAGTAGCTGACGGGAGTAGAAAGCGATCGGGCAATCCCCAGCACGAGCCTCGACAGTCCCATCCTCCGCGATGGTCGGGGAGTAAGTAATGGGGGGACTGTCAGTGGAGGGAAGTGGTGGTAGGATAGGCGTCAGTCGAGAAGCAGTGTCAATAGGAAGGCGGGGAAAAGGAGGAACATGGGGGTAAGGTGAATCTGGAGGAGAGGGAAACACCTGAGAAAGGACAACTCCTACCGCAAAATCTGACGCATCGGTGGTGACGATAAAGAGACGATCAAAATCGGGAAGGCGAAGAACCGGCGCGCAAGTCATCGCCTTCTTGAGGGCGCGGAAGGCGTCCTCGCAGAGGGGTGTCCAAAACCACGGCGGGTTCTTCCGGAGGAGGGCGGAGGTAAGGACGTAGGAATACCTAGCGTATCCCTGGATAAAATTACTATAGTAGCTGGTGAGGCCTAGAAAGCTGCGAAGCTGCTTGGCAGATGTGGAGACGGGTCACTCTGCAATAGCAGTGATCTTCGCGTCGTCCATGTGGAGACCCTGGTCAGACACATGGAGTCCTAGGAAGTCCACTTTGTGCTGGGCAAAGCGGCACTTACTGAGCTTGGCATAGAAGCCATGCTTGCGTAAGCGTTGTGGGACATCGTGGAGGTGTCTGATATGGTCTTCTAAGGTACGACTGTAGACCAGGATGTCGTCCAGGTATACGAGAATGTATTCTTCAAGGATGTCCGTGAAGATGTCGTTCATCGCCGTCTGGAAGGTGGCTGGTGCATTGGTGAGGCCGAATGGCATCACCGTGAACTCGTAGTGGCCGAAGCGCGACCGAAAGGCGGTCTTCGGCTGGTCCTCTGCGGCAACGCGGATCTGGTGGTAACCGCTACGAAGATCGATCTTCGTGAAGAAGCGGTTGCCTGCCAGACGGTCAAACAACTCATCCGCGCGGGGCATGGGATAGCTGTTCTTAACCGTGTAACGGTTAAGGCCGCGATAATCGATGCAGAGGCGGAGAGTTCCGTCCGCTTTGCGAGCAAAGAGGACAGGTGCACCCCAAGGGGAGTTACTAGGYTTAATGAAACCAAGTCGAAGGAGCTCCTCAAGSTGACGCTTGAGTTCYGTCGCCTCTGGAATCGAGAGTCGGTATGGTGCCTGATGGTGAACACGATAGTCAGGCACGAGCTRGATGGAATGCTCGACACCGCGCATCGGGGGAATCCCGCTGTATGAGAAATACGGGGGGAAGACGTCGCGGTACTCCTGAATCAGGTCGCGAATGACGGGCTCTAAGTCAGCCGTGAACCGCATGAGTTCCTCAACGTCTGCGTTGGCACGAGACGTATGGGTGGACTCGGCAGTGGACGGTGTAGGAACCTGGGATGTCGAGGGGGTATCCGCAGGYTGCGGGGTGGATGTAGAGATGGGAGCCGCGAAGATGGAGGAAGGGTCAGGGGGATCGGGCTCCAGTGAGATGAGCTCAACCTCGGGACAGAGTGGATCGTAGCGAAGAAGATCCATGACGTTCACTGAGTAGAGCGTGACGTCCTCCTGTCGGATGAAGTGAGCAAACTGACGGGGAGAAGTGAAGGAGATGTCTGGGTGGGACCCAGAAGGACGAGGGTCCTGGGGAGGTAGGTTTGGAGGGGTGTCGCCCGTGGTTCCAATGAAGGGGACTCGATGGGTTTGACCGCAATTCGTTTTGAGAATGAGTGTCTCGAACGCCCATTCGGCCTCTGTGCTACGGAACCGGTGAGACCAGGGATTGCTAAGGATAAAGTCGTACCCAGTCTCCAGCACGTCGAAGTAGGCGGAGGAATGGTAGCGCCGATGCGCCTGGGTACTATCCGGTGGCTGGAGGGTGAGGGAGAAGTGGAGGTCGGGGACCGTCTGATCGAAGAAGCGCTGCATCTTGTTATCCTCGAGGGTAACGGAGATAGGAGAGCGAGACCCAGAGGTAGCTAGGCGATCTTCCTCAACCACTCGAGGGTGAACGAAATCTCCCTGCAAGCCAGAGTCCCATAAAGCGCAGTACACCCTCGTAGATGTCCCTAGGCGAATAGGGATGATGGGTAGGGTGCGATCAGGGTCAGAGAGCAAGGCGAGAAGACGATGCAGGACGTTGATGTGTCTCGTGAGGCGCTCCTGACGAGCCTGCAGAATGCTCAAGTCCAGGAGAGATGACACAACATCATCGCGAGTCACCAGCTGAGCGCCACAACGGGCTGTGCGAATGGCGCGACGCGTCGGAAGTCTCAAGCGAGAAGCGCTAGATGCGGCAGTCTGCTGGGAGGCAGACGGTACCTCGATAGACGATGGGGCGGAGAGAACTGCGTCTATCGTGTCCTGAGGGTCCTCTTGTGGGATAGCCAAAGGGGCAAACCGCGACTCGGTGGTCGGAAAGCCGGCTACGTGCGAGGCCTCAGGGGCACAGTGCACCGTGGCTAGGTGGATGGGGCTGGTCGGGCGGGGCCGGGGGGGGACTGAGATCGACGCTGACGAGAGATGTCAGCGTAGTGCCGATCGAGGGCGGTATGGTATGGACACCGTGAGGAGGTGTGTCCATCTAGGCGGCAACGAAAGCAGCCGCGCCGGGCCTCGAGGGCGACACGCTCCTCAGGGGATAGAGCTCCGCGAGGAGGGACATAACCCTGCGGGAGGTCTATCTAAGGAACCATGGGTGTGCGGGCGCTAGCCTGTGCAACCTGAATACGAGCATGACCCATGGCAGACATGGCCATCAGCAAGCGCTTGGCCACCGGAACAGTGTCGTCATCCAAGTGATACTGGATGACGTCTTGTAGCTCGATGTCCTCGGGGGCGTCCCCAAGGGTAGGGTCAAACTCGGCCGAGGCGTTCTCGCCGTACTCCAGAGAACAGTAGCGCTGAGAGAATGACGCTCCAGGGTGGGTCGGGCGACGAAAACGACCAGCAAACGAGGAGCGACCTCGGGTGGTACCCCGAGACTTAGAGGTGGCGGCTGGCCGCGAAGAGGATGGGGCGACGGAGAAGCGACTGCACATCCTTTGGTACTGACGCGCAGCCTCGTATGCCTGCTCCGTGGAAGAGAATGATCGCCTCCATAGCTCTAGGCGATAGTCAGTCGGCAGGCTGACAAGGAACCGGTCGGTGAGTGTGACCTCCGGTAGGAACGTCTCGTCACAAACAAGGCGAGCGTCCTGAAACACCCGGATGTGACGTTCCAGGTCGGCCGTTACAGAGGACCCGGACCATCTGGTCTGGGTGACGCGGTCTAAGGCGTCGGTGGCGTCATGACGAGCGCCGAAACGGTCCTGAAGGAAGGCCGCGAAGTCGGCCAGAGTGGGGACCTCACCCACGCGGAGGCGCTGGGTATAATGATCCTCCCACGCAGTGGAAGGGCTACCTCGCAATTTGGTTGCGAGCACATCGCACCACAACTCCTGACGGGTGGTCGTCATAGAGAGCGTGCGCGTTGCTATCTGTAACCAGCGAGAGACAAGGGTTGTGCCATCATACTCGGGAATGTCCGTGGTGCGCACAGGAGGATATCCACTGTGCTGATGGCGGGGGGAGAGAGATCAAGGCGAGTGCACTGTGGCAGCGTAAGTCGAGGTCGCTGCAGGGGCAGAGGTGGGGGAAGGCTGTGGGTCGTGGCCGCTAGCGGATGGGCCAGCAGACGAGGAGGCAACGGCCGCGGGCAGCTGTCCCGGAATAGCTAGGTAGGAGGGAAGAGGCTGAGGAGCAGGTCGAGGGAAACGAGCCTGCATCATGGGGACCGAAGGGGTGGTAGAGGAAGAAGGGTGGGCAGCCTGTGATGGGTGAGGCTGTCTCACAGCGAGAATCTCCGCCTGAGCCTGCGCAATGGTGGCCTGTAAAGTGGCCACGCGCAGAGTGTGCGGGGTCGGAGGTGGAGGGGGCGGAGCGGGTCTCCCAGTGGGAGGAGGAATCCCAGTCTGGGCGGTACCCTGCTGTGGGGGTGGGGGGACAAAGGCGGGAAGAAGAGGGCGGAGCCGTATTGCCGCGACCGGTGCGGGAAGCTGGGAAGCAACACCGGTGTGGGTCGATGAAACTGCTGGGCCTCGAGGCGGTACCTGA